TATTTTCCCTTCGAATTGGGAATGCATAGAATTGAACTATGGCAGCCAACTCCCACAGGTTCTCCAGAGCAGAAGTCAATGTTTTACTATTGTGAAGTCTTGTGTGACCGGCGGCATTTTGAAGAAATCGGATTAAAATATTTGGACAATTTCAAAGGAAGCTTGCCTTTCGATTTGCAAGTTGATCCAGAGATTAGGCAACGGTCAAGGCTATTTGAATGGAAGCCCTACTGTGAAGTTACAGACAGTTGTGAAAGTACATGTTCCAACTCCCAGAGCGAATATCAAATAACAGGGCAACCGACAACTCCAAGGAGTCTAACTGCAGACTTCTGTCCTTGGTCGAAGGAAGACGGTATAGGTGCAGATTATCTGTTTGATAGACTGTTTTCCATAGAGCAAAGAATAGAAAAAGACTTTGCATCCTTTTCTGAGAACTACTCCGAGGGGAATATTAGCAGTAGTAACGCATTAGTTGGATTGATCAACACTGAAAACGTGTACGAAAGGGTGTCTGAGGTGGCGAATTGTGTTAAAGAGAGTAATGATGATGAGTGTGAAATTACCTCGGTTTCAACGGGTTATGACAACGAAGATCAAGGTGAAGGCGATTTATTCTTTCTTTTGTTTGAATGTGGCCCTTCCATGAAGCAGTGCAATTATTGCAATGGGTTAACACAGTTAATTTTTGACTTCGTGAATCAAGATGTATATGCCAATTGGAAGTGTGTATTTTTGCAAACAAGGTGGCCAATTCGATTCGCACCACAACAATCAGTGGAGTTGAGTACAACACATATCCAAGTGCCTCCATGGCGAGCTAGTGCCGGTCGTCTGCTTCACGATGTGTGCAACTACTGCACACGGAATCCCCATCTTGAAAACCTCGTACTCTTGGACCCCATGGTAAGTCAGTGGTCTTACTCCAAGCAGACTCACTGCAACAATGCATTCATTACTGTGTTTGAATTCTTAGTCACTATCTCCACTGTCCCCACTGCTAAATCTGATGAAGCGGAGTGCGAGCAAAAGCGGACAAATGACTGGAGTCCT